AAAAAGTAAGATTATTTATCTGCTCTGAAATGGAAAGCTATCTCAGATTTCCCTACAGGTTTCAGGATGGGATATGAACTTGCTAGAAATGAGAATAGTTAATTTTTGGAACACTTTACCAAGGGTAGTGCCAGATTTTCTTCCATCCCTGGATACTGTTAAATCAAGATTGGAAATTTTTCTAAAACATATGCTCTAGGAATTATTTTGGGGAAGTCTTATGGCCTGCGTTATACAGGATGTCAAACTAGATGATCACAACGGTCCCTTCTGGTCTTGGAATCTGTGATTAAAACCACCGCTGTTACAAATGTCTTCTGAGCCCCAAATAATCCTTTCAGCAGTTTAAAAACTTTTTAAAGAAAAGTTACAATAAAGCCATTTCAACCAAAAAGAGATATTCTGCACTTTTCCTCAAAAGGCGCATAGAATATGTTAACAATGTTTTCTTATGTCTGTACAGCACTTAACAGATTGGGGCCCCAATCTCAATGGAGACAACTAGATGCTAGCGCTATAAGTATGAAATAATATCAATTGAAACACAGACCTTTAGAAACCTTTGCTTTTCTTCACACCTCTGTGATCATTGCTGCCCCTCCTGGCCCAGTCTTTCGTCTCTTCCCTCTGCCAAGCCTTTCACCTAACCATGCCTATAAGAAACTTGTTGATACCGTCGACATGGATTTACTTGTCTTGCTTAGATATTATATTTATATGTAAACACAACTGTATATTTATTGCTGTACTTCCCTCTGTACATACTCACTGATATGTCTAGAAGCCACTCTAATTATGGGCAAACTAGGCAGCTGCTTACCCTGAGCAGCTACGCCAAACCTGAACAGCGCTATGATCGCATGTGGCACATCACAACACCATGATCACACAGATATGGCCTTGTTGCCTGTCTGTCTTGAATGAGTAGCGCTGCAATCTCCTGGCACTTGGCCCACCCCACCTTTACCATAACTACCGAACCATCAGAAGGCTCAACAGCCCCCCCCCTTGAATGTTCGATGTATCACCCCCCTCAGTTGAGAACCCCACCTGAGGGGAGAGCACACTGAAGTTTTGCCTAGGGTGGCAGAATGTCTTGAGCAGTCAGTCTGTCTTCAGTCTGAGCAGATTGGGACAAGGATCACACTGGCGCCTATGTTTGGAAAAGTGTCTAGCAAACTAGCTATAGCAAACTATACTACCAGAGTATAATACAGGAGTGGGCAAACTATGGTAGCATCCAGCCTATCAGACCTTTTAATCCAGCCCTCGAGCTCCCGCTGGGGAGCAGGGTCAGCGGCTTGCCCCGTTCCAGCTGGGGAGCGGGGTCAGGAGCTTGCCCCGCTCCGTGGGTACCATGGCTCAGCGAGTCTCCTGGAAGCAGCGGCATGTCTCCCCTCCGGTTCCTATGCGTAGGGGCAGCCAGGGGGTTACGCACGCTGCCCCCGCCCCAAGCGCCGCCCCCTGTAGCTCCCTTGAACCAATGGGAGCTGGAGAGGCGGCACCTGCGGACCGGACAGCACACAGAGCCACCTGGCCACACTTCTGCGTAGGAGCCGGAGCGGGGACATGCCACTGCTTCCAAGAGCTACTTGAGGTAAGCGCCGCCCGGAGCCTGCACCCTTGACCCCCGCCCCAGCCCTGATCCTCTTCCTGCCCTCCAAACCCCTCGAACCCAGCCCGGAGCACCCTCCTGCACCCCAAACCCCTGATTCCTAGCCCCACCCGAGAGACCACACCCCAACCCCCAATTTCATGAGCATTCATAGCCCACCATACAATTTCCATACCCAGATGTGGCCCTTGGGCTAAAACGTTTGCCCACCCCTTGTATAATACAATATATTGAAAGTCTACCCCAGAAATAAATCTTTTTAAAACACCATTTTAATCTGATGCTTTATCCTGCCAGCTGAGGTGTATGGTGTGTTATTTTACTGTCAGACTCCTGTGTTCAAAACAGTTTGAGTCAGGCTCCAAAACTCATGAGATTGTCTTAAAAAAAATTTTTTTTCAGTAATAAATTTGTTTTTTTTTCATTTGCTTTCTGAGCCTGTAAAATACACCCAGGTCGTACATTCAAGCTTTCCTCTGCACCTATGAGAACCAGAAACTTTGTTTTTAATGAAAGCTGAGATTCTCTTGCACACTCATGACTCTAGGACCTGGGTCTTTAGGAAAAGCTACAAATACTATCAGAATTGGCAACACTGCCCAATCTTGTAATTGGATCCCTACAGGAATCAGGGACTGCCCATGCAGATCTGATTGCAGAATTGAGGCCACTTGGTAAGACCCCTGGAGGCCTGGACTGAATCCTCCTCTGTGTGTGGTACAGCACTGCACACCCTGATTTAACTCAGGAAATAACAAAAAATGAGTGGAAACTTTTGTTCACTAGATCATTTTTGGTCCTGGCTATTCATTTCATGTATGCTCTGCTTTTTCATATCTTTTATGTTTGAGTTTTGTGTTTTAGGGAAAACTAATCATTCCCTACTTACACAAAGAAAACTCCTATATAAAATGGAAACGCAACAGAATATATATTGAACAAAGCGTAGTGTAGGCACTTAGGTTTCATTCTACCCTGGTCTGACCCCTGGGCAGAGAGATTCCTGCTTTCATGTTGTAGATCATGTGTAAAACCTGATGCTTTCTGGCTCACCCCATGTAATGTAAGGCTATCATCAGAGAGAAACAGAGTGAGACGTTTGCAGAAGGGAATGAAATGTTTGGGATGTGGTCTCATGCTTTTTACAGCAGTGAGCATCAATCACACCTTCCAAGAAGAGGGCAGCACTGAAAATCTACTCTTTTTTTTTCCTTTTCCCCTTCTCTCCCTCCATCTCCCCTTCCTGCTCTCCCAACATTCCCATAGCAAGTGTAATTTTAGTGTGAAAGTGTCATTTGCCCTTGAAAAAGCAGAGACCTCCATTAAGTTTTCTAGCTTTATTGCTTCTTGCCCTGAGATAACAGTTTCTTTTTTGTTTTACAAATGATTGATTTGTGATTTGATAGTTAATATTTGTATTATATTTCCATAGTTTGAGTCCATTTGTGATGACAGAGATTTCCCCCTCTTCCCCTGCTTCCCTACTCTGTCAAGTTGTCCTCCCTACAATGAAATTAGAGGAAATGTTTATAAATTAGAAATACATTTTATTTTTACCCTTTTCTAGAATATAGAAATATATATCAACCTTTACATGTACCTATTTGCCATTCTTACCCCCACCAAGTGTTCAAAAATAGCAGGTCTGAGCATCCGCTGACAAATCATCCAGTGAGTCACTATCCAGAAGATTTAACCTACTTCCCATGAGCACTTGAAGTGTGTACAAGGTTTGCGTTTGTGGTGTTCAGTATTTTTCAAATTTTGAGTTTCTAAAAATAATTACTCAATTTTTGTCCAACTCTGACAAATTTTCATTGATTTTTTGAGACCAGTTTAGAGAGCTGGTCAATTTTTTTTCCAAATTTCTGACTCATAGATTAAAAAAAACCTTCATGTAAGATTGTTTTCTTGTCTTTTTATTTGATTGTTTGTTGTTTTTAATAGCTCTAGTTTGGGGTGCGTACCCGTGCTACCAATGGTGAATGATAAGAACATGCCCCCAAACCTCTTATTATCCTGTTGAGGTCCCCTTCAAACCAGTAGCAAGTCTTGTGGATTTTCACTTGTATGCCCTCCACAACTTTATTCATGCAGTTGTATTTATGGGCAGATGGGATGGAGACAGTTGAAGTCTCCAGTTGTAGAACATAAGATGAGGATTTGGAGAAAAGCTAGTCGCTTTTTCAAATTTCTAATTATGATGAGCTTTCTAAATTTGAAATTTCAAAGTTAGATTTTTTTTTTAAGTGAATTGTCCCTCCCCCTGTTTTTTCAGCCCGTTCTACTTCAGAGAAAGCTCCCCCTTCAGAGTCCATTCACATGTCCTGTATGGGTAAATCCTGCTTACTCCACTGTGGAGCACAGTGTGGGGTGGGGTTTGGGGAGGCAGTGCAAGCTATGTTCACTCTACTCACCACAGGATCCAGCTCCATGAGCGTTCCCTGCACACAGCTGTGCATCTGCTTACGTGTGGCAATTGATCAACCTTTACATGTACCTATTTGCCATTCTTACCCCCACCTAGTGGAGGAGCCAATGATATAGTGGCTACCCTAGCTATAAAGTTGGTGTAGTGGGCACAGAGGTGCTTATGGGAAGGATTCCTTCTTCCTCCCATCCTAATTGTTTGGCTTGGTCTCTAAGGCCAAGATATGGGCTGTAGTTCTTGTTCATTTTACTCTGTGTGTCCATCTGTGTTCTCAGAAAGCAATGCTGCATTGGTTTACATTCCATTCACATTCATAAAGATCAAAATCTGTAGAAATGAGTAAGCCCCATGCTCATCAGTGAAAGTTTTCTATTTCCACCTGCCAAGTAGATTTGTCAAAGCCTCTCCTATAAAATCACTTTTTGTTGCATAGTACAGATAATGTTAAGGTTGATCAAGGAGTATGGCCAAAAATAATAATTATTCCTTTTCATCTGAGACACTAAATAAATTAATAATTTAACTTTCCCTCCTTGAAGCCTTCTAGAATAATGCTTAAACAAAGGAACAAACTTCAGACAGCAGTTTAAAAATCCCTGATGAAATCCAAGCTAAATTTTGGCAAACTTCAATATTAACAGTTATTTAAATCCTCCATGATCTGCATATTATAAAGATTATTTTTAAAATGCTCCTGCATGTGTGATATGCACAGATCTCTCATTAGATATAAAACTGATCTCTCAGCAGAATCACAGAAGATGTCAATATCAGTCACTGTATACTTTGTAACTCTCCTTGTGCTTATAAGGACAGGGGGAAAGTTTGTTAATTTTGCAAATGGCCTTACTCCCATCACCAAGATTACAGAAAACAAATTAATTATTTGCCAAAAGTAACATCTAATGTAAATTTGATGTCTGAATTTTAATGATTGTCTTCATTTTGTTTTAGGTTTATATCAATTGAGCTGCCAGAAATTTGCCTCATAAAGCTTTGATGGTCCACATCTTAATGGATTGCTGTAGCCTCTTAATTTCTCCATTCATCCAGTTCCCAGCATCGTGAGAAGATTAGCCAGCACAGAACCTAGAAAAATTACATGTAAGTCTTGATTTGAACTCCTCTTCCATAAAAAAGTGTAAAAAGAATGAAAATGTTTCAGACAAAAAAGCAAATAAGTACCATCTTTTAAATGTCATAAAACATTAGGTTGTGAATAGTTGGGGATGAAGTTCTATGACTGGCTTTGTAAACTGAACTGTGACTGTAATTTTATCATTTTGAAGGATTTCTAAGTTTTCTGCTTCCATCGTTGACCTTTGCAAAAAGTGCTTTAAAATAGCTTACATATTTGTCTAAAAAGTGTGCCTAGGTTTTTGCCACTTCAGGATAACTTCATTTGTGTGTGTGTTTTAATTGTTCTTATCTCAGTGTTTCAATCCTGCATATACATGCTCTCCCAAAGCATACTTGAACTGCACCTCAGAGGCTGGTTCCGATGGAGTCTTTGCATGGTAATATTGTGGGTGTTCCCTAGCTTCTACATAGTGGAACCACAGTTCTCCCTCCCATGCTGTGCTCTCCCTCTTTCTTGCCTTCTGTTCTCCTTGTTTTATTGGAGAGTGCTAACACAGTACCTTTTATAGCTTAAGCCTCTTCTTAGCTCTATTACAGCTATCCCTTCTCCTCACTTACTCAGCCCCTTCCATGTGAGGATCTCACTGGGGCACAGACTACTTAAGTGGCTTGCCATAGATTAGGTTTTTCTATAGTACCTAACACAGAAGATCATACAACAAGTCAGTCGCAGAATTGGGCAGGAATAGAACCCAGGAGCCCTGAATCCCAGTCCCTCCTCTAATTGCTGGACCATACTCCTTCCCTTGCTGCATGCTCATGATGTAACAACGGTAGAAGTTGTACATTAGCAATGAGCATGCACACAGAGAATATAATTGTGTTATTTACTGTTGATTGCTGTAGATGGTGTAATGAGGCGGACAAACCCCCACTGGACCTGGTCAAGAAGGGATCAGTGTTCTGCCCTGGAGATAGGGGCTGAAACTCTACAAGGAAGGCTCCCCAGGTGGAGGAAGTGGGCTGTGGAGTGCTGCTGCCCTGACCCAGGAGGCAGCGTATAAAGTGTGGGCGGAGTGGTCCCAAGGGTGGAACCCTAGGAGCAGCCGTGCTTGGGAGAAGGCTGGAGTTGAATTTTATCCTGTTAATTTCTTTGTTGATAAAACCAAACGTTGGGGTGGGGGGGGTGTTTTGTTTTTTGCTAGTACTTTAGTGCAATTGCTAGTACTTTAGTGCAATTTGAGGAAAGGCACGCACCCGCCCACAGAGACAAATTTGTGCATCTGATCTTTGTATTTTTTACCAATGACCCACATCAATTATGCATTAGAATCTTGTATTAATGAACAAAAAGGGAAAAGGAAGAACTATAATGGCTAATAAAATACGTTGTCCACTTTAGTAATCAACTGAAGACATTTTGGGGTCTTTCATACCTGTTAAGATGCTCCCCACTTTTGGTCATCCTCATTTTTGGGAACAACAATGCAGCTCCTGGATCCTGCATTGCTTATGATCCACATCCTCTCTGTACAAACATGTGACAACTAGCAGCTGGTCAAATAACTCTACCAGAAAAACCTTAAGGGAATCCATGGAATGAAAACTCATACTGGCCTACGGTCTGGGACTTGTTGTAGTCTGTATAAGGACATCTGCCATCCTCGCTACTCGTGTCCCCATCAGGAGACTTTAAATCTTATTCTGTTCTTGGCAGTATTCATGTTATGGCATTGAATGTTTCAACATACTAGGTATAAAGTAAGCTAAAGACACGGGTATGATTTTTACCATAATCATGTGGGAGAGGAGGATATCTGGAAAAAATCAAAGTAAAAGCAGGCACATTTATTTCTCCTAAGGGGCCAAGAGTATAGTATAGTTTTAATAAAAACAGGCTATCATAGGAGTCATTGGAACCAGGAAAAACTGAAACTTAACCTGCTTATGTTGGTGAAAAGCGTAAATACAGCTGAATACTTTCCTGTGGCAGCACTCTTAAAAAACTATCCATTGTCAAAAGAACATTTTCACATATGCAACTATTATTGTAAAAAGAAGTGTGGGAGGTGAGTTGGTATGTAGACACATAATACGTGTTTGTCAGTGTATCCCAAGATCTAGAAGGAGAGCTGTTGGTTAAAATAAATGATTGTACAAAAACTATCACAGAATTGGGCTGAAAGAGTTGGTAAATAGAGCTCTAAGTAAATCACAGAATTCTAGCCCAGGCTGGTGGTGAGTGAAAGTCATTGTCATCATCAGAGAAATGCTGAGTGGCCTGTGTGACATGAGGTGGTGACTTTTGTTCATTTTCTAGTGGATGCAAACTACTTACAGACTTTCACAATTCTTTCATGAGTCTTGCAATATTTGGTGTTTTTCATAAAGCCCCCATACCTGGAGTCATGTGACTGTGAGCATCTCAGCTTTCATTTTTTTTTTAAAAAAAAAGTAAGTTTCTAGCCCTTATGGCTGCAGAAATAAAAGCTTGGAAACTTGCACACTGGAGGCTTAAAAGCCAGAAGGCAAATGGAAAGAACGCAGATTTTGTTATTTCTAAATTTCTCGTGACTTTTGGGGCCTTCCTCATGATTGTTGAATGCTCATGGTTAGCAATACTGCAAATCCATGACAGAGAAACTAACTTAAAAATGACACCTGAAGTGACCGATTTAAAAGAGCAGTCAGGAGCTGAATGGACATAACTGAAAAACTTTTTCATCCCCTGGTCATAGTTGAGGTACACAGGAATGCTTATAACACTGCTGCCTGTTCCGTGGTTAATCAGTATTCTCCATTCAGACAGTGTAGCAGTGTTGGAGCACTAACTTAACTTGAAAAATAGGACATGGATTTGAAAAGTTTTGTAAAATCCTTTTATATTTTTTTTCTTGCCAACAATGTGCTCATGACCATGCAAAACTTGGAAGAAGACACAGGCCCTGTCCCTAGGAGTATGGCTAATTGCAATGTCATAAAGCAGCTGGTTACTGGCTTAGGCTCAAACCTGCATCTGGATCCACACTAGTAGATTCTGATGCAGAGTCAAAGCTTTAGTTGATTGATTAATGTTACACCATCGTCACAAACCTACATACAATGATGTAGGGAGGTTGGGAAGGGCTGTTTTCATCCCTAAACAGCTCATACTTTGTTTCATTGCGCTATCTGATGGCACAAAACAAATGTGTAACATAAAAGGGCTTTGATCAGATGCTGCTGGAATTGCAATGTTAGGATGTGGCTACACAGCTGTCCTGTTGACATCACCATGGAACTATGCTGCATTCTGAACTGCATTTTAAATGCTAAGTTTACATTTTTTTGTTTTGATTTTTCATTATTTCTTTTTAAAAGAAGCAAAAATAACATACCAATCAATGGCATTCTGAGGAATAATGGACTGCCTGAATTTATACTACTTATGCAAATTCTTGTCTTGACAGTTCAGTAAGACTCTTAAAAGCGTTGAGCTAAACAAAATCAAATAGAAACTCATTTCTATAATATGTAGGTAATAAGAGGTCTCTTAAATAAAGTATTTTTTTAATCTAATGTTTAGGTTTCTAAAACCTGCCCATCAGCAATCTGTGGGCAGATGTAAATTAATTTTAAAATGTGAAGTGCGCCATTTGATGACTAAATGTCTGTCACACGCCTACCATCACCCAAATAATGAGAAAACAGATAGGCTTTATTGTCTGTCTACAGGTCAAAAAACACATGCTTCGTTGGACCAACAGGGAAATCAAATTTCCAAAGGTGACAACTCAACCATTGGAACACCTGGGTGGTAGACATTCATATCCCCTCTGTACTGTTACCAAGAGCAGTCCAGCTGATCTCAACTGTCATGATAGTAGGTAAGAAGAGATGTGGTCTTTGTGCCACTGAGCATCCGGGACCAGATTCTAATTTCAGATGTGCCACATATACCATATTTCATGGGGAAAAAATCCTCTCCTTCAGTGCTTGTATTTTACATGACTGTAGAACTATTATATTCACGTCAGGCCAGGGGCTTCAGAGCACCATTTAAAGTGTGTGGAGGAGAGAGATGAGGGGCAGACATAGATTTGAAGCCCTTGTCCCCCACCTGATCATCTTCTTCCCCTCTCAGGCACCATTCCCTTCCAGAAGCCCTTGCCTCCTCACCCCCTCCTTACTTTACCTCTCCCTGGTGGTAAGTCTCACCTTTGGGTGACGGGTTTGACTGTTTCCCAGTGCTGAGAGGAGCTGCTCCAGTTTTGGCAGCTGGCAGGTGAGGGGAACCCGGGTGTCAGCCATGGTGCGCTCCTAGCCATAATGTGTGCGGACACTAGATACAAGATCACTGTTCATGCATGCAGCAAAAAAACCTGGGCAAATTGCATCTCTTTATCAGCAAGAGAGTAGAAAAACCATCCAAGCCGGTCAAAAACCAGCCAGGTGGCAACGCTATTTTCCACCTACATGCTTAAAAGTGGTCAGGCCATGGACTGGGTGGGCCTCCCTCCCCAAATTCCCTCCCCCCCCCCCCCACTCCTCCCAGCTCCACAGCCTATGCATCAGGCTCACTTCTTCAAAAGTGCACATCTGACTTTCATGTAACACTCAGTGTGTGAATGAGAGCTAGGGGTTTGTGCACTTACATAGCTGTGCATACATGTAACCCCAATTGGGGCACACATCTCAGGTGTTGTCCATGCACAAATCAGGCACACACTCAAGTGTTCATGCACTTCTGAAAATTTGGGCCTTCATATGTGGAGAAGATGGCCACATATTCATGCACACTTACTTTCACATGAATGGGCAGCCTTGTCTGAAGGAGAGTACTGTACTCTCTCTCTCTCTCTCTCTCTCTCTCTCTGTTTTATACTGTTGCCTATCACTGTAGTATCTGAACACCTTCCACATAAAATCATTAGGAAAGTCCCTGGTGGGTTCCATGGAGTCTCTGGTATATCTGCCTTTTTGGGGTCAAAACTCTGCTGGGGGGTAAGGTTTTATTTATTTATTTATTAGATTTTATTAACTTCCTTTTCGGGGATGGGGATGGTTTGGTAGAGGATTAAGGTTAGAAGCAGATGTCAGTATTGAGAGCCCTTCTTAAAGTAGAAGGGCTTTTTCCGTTGCTTTTCCCTACAGCTTGTCTGTTACACAGCAGTGATACAGGAACCAGCATGCCACCAGGCCAGTCTGATAAAGCTGGAAATATTGGCTATACATTTGTTTTTGTTATTTTGAAAAATTAAATACATTTGCTGCAAATATGTCTTATTCCATAATATAATCTGGAAAATATTAAGTGTATACCCACCAGGCAGCAATTATACATTAAAGTATAAAGTACACATGCATCCATGTGTGAGAACATCTTCTAAAATAGGATGCGGAGAGGGAGTGAACCAAAAACCCCTGGTATGATGCTGGTTGAAACAGCTGGGAAAATATGGCAGGATAGTTGGAAGTAACAGCCATCTCCCTTTTCATTTGATGACTCTGTTAAAAGTAGTACTATGAATCCATTAAATTAAGGCAAATACCATTTACACTCTTTCTAGAGGTAATTGCTAGGCTTGAGAAGAGCTGTGTTCCATATGATATGATACAATACGCCAAAATTGAATTATTTTGACACCTCTTCCCTGTCTGCCATTAATTAATGTTTGTCTCGCTTCCAAGGTGTGAAGTGCTGCATACGTGCGAAGTATCATTGATTTATTTACTTTCTATTCACGTGACGATGTTGTGACGAAGTTTTTCTTCTTAGTGTTGCAGGTGGCAGTCTGTGTGTCAGCCTGCCTGAGTCAGAGCTCTCACTTCAGCCCTGGTAAAGCTTTTACCACAGGGACTCTGATAACTAGCATTTCCCCATAGGTGGGACAGTACCTTTGCCAGCTCTCCAGTGTCCCACAGAGTATCATACCTGCCAGTGCTTGTCATTTATTTTAAGAAAATACTGAAAGACGGTGACAGTGAAATCAACTTTCTCTAACCTAAACCAGTAAAAACTAAAATACATCTCACCACATAAAAGTTTTGTTTTCACTGCTGCTGAAATCCATCCCTCCCTTTTTGCAGCACAGTGTACAGTCATCTAGTGCCCGACTTGGGGGTGGTGTGGTTGAGACTCAGTGGCGTATGACCCACTTTTCATAATACTTAGATACCTGTGCTTTTACAACACACATCAGAAGTTCCTACGACATAAAAACACCAGAAAAGCATGTATCTGATTTCAACAGTATTGTGTAAACTGCGGTGTGTTCAGAGCAGCTGTCTGTGCATTAGGTTCCATGTTAATTACTAGAAGATGACAGGCAGTTTTGTGCAGTATGTTGTTAATGAGAAATCTTAGGTAGTCACATTTTCTGGAGTTGATGCTTTGTGTCTTAATATTATTTTGTTGAAATAATGGTTGCTAGCCTACTTGCACGTGTTTCCTGTTATGATTTGCAGAGAGTTCGGGCAAGAATATTGTAATTGATGCTTTAGTAGCCATAATACTTTGCATTTTCAAGAAGTGAGGTAGTTAATTAAAACAGACTGTCAGCTTTCATTCTCACATCCCCAGACCTCCTTTACTGATCCTCTTCTGCAGTCTGCTCTGAGTGGTCTATTTTATTTTATTTTATTTTATTTTATTTTTAAACAGATCGAATCAGTCAGTTTGGGTTAGTCCTGTGCAGGTTTTCACATGATAATTATGCTCATACTTGTATCAATTCAAAATGTGTGCAGAGTAAACAGAAAAATGTCAGGTATGGAGAAGAATGGTGAATGGAACCAGTGTACTGCTAGGTTATGATTTGTGCCGTGTATGAAATTACAAAGTAATTTGCAAAGCAAGTTTAAGTAAAGTGGAATTTTTTAAGCATGATGAAATCATCCTTGACAGCAGGCGCTCTCGTTCTTCTAATACTACTATTATGAGTATAAAGGGATTTTTTTTTAAATTACCACTTTCTAGAGTAAAATAATCAGGATAATTTCCCACTGATCAGCCCATCAGTAACCCCTTTATAAATCACTGGTTTGAAAAAGCTAGTAAAGGAAGTGTGCCTTTGTTATCCAATTGCATCCTTATTACTGACTTTAAAATTGGTCAGTGGCTAGCCATCCTAAATTTGAGACATATTTGCCAGACAGTGAATAAGATCAAAGAATGGAAGATGCGCTGAATGCATGAAAGCCCCATTTATGTCCTATTGCAGTTTATCTGCATTATAATCTGTGTCCTCGCAGTTAAAATAGCACAATGAAACCATAAATATAAACTGGAAAAATATGCAATAGATTTTTAGCTACTTTGCATCCCTTGTTAAGATGAGCCATCAGTACTGGGTTTTTTGCATCTGTATACTTGCGCTGTAGGTGTTGGAAGTGTGGGTGGCCAAGAAAAAGCAGTGGTTACAATAAGATTTTCCATTTATTGCCCTTTGTGTACAACTAAAAATAAGACTCATACGATTCAGAATCTGTAGAGCAAGCAGAATCATTCCGTTAGCTCTGATGACTGGCTTGCATGCAGCTTTGCCTCTGTCTGGTAAGTTCTACATTTGAGTACTTGTAAATGTGTCTTTGTTGAAATAAGAGAGAGAGAGACAAGTTACTTACACTGTTAGTCTTCATGTAATACTCTATCAGCATTTTCTCATTCTAAAAAGCAAAGTATGACTGATAAGGGATGGTGATGAAAGGATTTTGGAAGCAGAATTGTCCTTGTATCTGAAAAAAGCAGCTGTGAGTGCTCACGGAGTTTTAAAATCAGCCATCCAAAACCACAATTGTATAACTTGAACTGTTGATCTATAACTTAATCTTTTTGATATAAATGCTCTTTGCCAGCCTTCTGAATAGCAAGTAAAGGAATGCTTAATGTTGACCATTGGCATGTAAAACTCTTTTGTTTCCACTATAAGGTGATAGCATGGGTAACTGCGGACTTGGTAGCTTTTCCAGGTAACCACAGCTGGTAAAGGGTCTGCTAAATTAGTTAAAATTTACCTTTATTGAGCTGCTAAATCTACTGTGGTCACATTAATTAATAGCATGTCAGCTTGTGGCCAAGAAAAACGCAAAAGAGAAATGTTGTCGGCATTTACAGGGAAATTCATAACTTTATGGTCTCTTCTCTGGTGCTGTCCCCGTTTCACTCATTAAGTAGCTGTGGCATTTCCAAAGAATGAGTGTGTCTGTGCATTTTTAGCTTTTCAGTTTGATATGATTCTTGAAATGGGTGAGTAAAGATGCTCCTGAATGTTTGCCTCTTTATGAAGCCAGCTTCTCCTTCATAGCCTTTTCTCACTTAAGAAGCTATGTAACTCCAAGAAGTATAGAGGATGTGGTATAGTGCAAGCACTTAAAGCCACACACAGTTGTTCCATGGATTATTGATGCTCTCTGTGGTCGGGTGGGGGGGGGAGTTATTATGCAATATTAAATCCCATTAAATTAGCTCAGTGTAAACCCTCACCCTTCTCTTAGGAGCAGAACTGTGTGGTGTGTCATTATTACTCTACACTTACCTCCTCATCTCTGCCTTTTTATTTAAATGCATATTTCTGTTCTAGCATCTGTACGTATCCATTGTAGTACAGGCTGATATACAATACAAAAGGCAAGAGAGTTGATGCAGTAATCAAGGTTTTAAATACTTCAGGTGGGAATGGCCAAAACTTCAGGAGTAATTAGCTTCTGTAGTGGTGGTATTTTCTGCAGGGAATTACATTACATCTGTTATAATTATCTACATGTCTTAATCCTGTAGGTGACCAGAAGCTGACAAGCAGGGAAACATTTGTTGTCATTTTTGTTATGGATTCTCCCTATCTGATACAGATGTAGAAATATTTTCTTTCTGCTGCTAAGCCTGGTA